GAGAATTAACCACTAGCAGCAGTTGGCGCGCAGTCCAGGTGCATCACGCCATGGAATGCACCAATACGTATAGCAAGTAGGGTAGAATAGCTTAGTAAGCACTTTTAGTGCATAAATAGGTAGTTAACATGAGGTTCGCTCTCTTTTTCCAGCTTTCAGCGCAGGTGGCTAGTAATAAGTGTTCATGTGTATCTAAGGAAGAATAAATTTGAAAATCCTAAGTACATCGTGATAAACGCTCGTCTTGCTGGTACATCTTTGAAGATATTGTACATACCACGCAAATATTTGACAACATCCCAACTGATACTGCGAACACTATCCTTGAATGCATTATGCAAAATATACAGCCCACAGCTTCCCAGATCTATCAGATTCTCGCCACCTTTTTGTACCGCAAGCATCAATTCACATTGGGCCCATCCATGGACACTTGCAGTAACTTGTTCGACGAGATACCGGCCAGGGCGTTCATAAACGCAGCGAGTAGATCTGATGCCCGGGATCTTCCCAAAAACTTTGACGTCATGTACTGATAAAATTTCAAAGATTGTTTTTATGTATCCCACACATGATTTTTTGCAATGTGATTAACATTAATTTTTTCCCTGACCTACACTAAAATTCCCTGACATTCCCTGACTTTCCAGATCATAAATAGAATTCCCTGACATTCCAGGTTTTTCCAGGTAGTCGACACCCTGTATTAGTTCGTCCCAGGTGACACCTTCAAGTGACCAAAATGCTTCACTTTGAAGTTAGTTTCCTAGCTGATTTTTAAATTAAATAGGGTGTATGCTCCAACTACGCTCACATGTTTCCACTATGTCGTGTCACAAAATTACGTATGGATATGTCACAATAGAAGTACGCCTTAGTGGAAATCCCAAGCCATAGTTCAAACACTTATCCCAAACCAAAATAAAGCACAAATAAGATTAGTTACAATACCATGTACAAAAACGGTGTTTAACATTGTTCCCTGAGTTAATACCTTAATGAAAACAACAATGAAAGCTTGTCACGCAAGTAGAAGGAGCACTGTTGGGCACTTTCTGAAATATTTCAATAGTATTATTCCCTTGCAAACGCAAATAAATATAACTGCGTAAAAAAATAAGAGAGATTTGCGGCAAAACCCGCCAGTATCGCACCCAACGTCAGTGCCTATACGTAAGCGTACTACGACGCGGTTCTTAAAAAAGGAGTAACAGGTGTAATAAAATCACTTCAAGCTAGAACTTTGGTTCTCTCATGCAATGGTTCATCAGAGCGGGGAAGCTCAGTAATCCTCATCGCATGCTCATGACGCTATTCTGCCGCGGCATGAGCCAACGATACCGGACCTAAACCAACCGTCTCCAACGCTCCACTATGAAGCATAAGATTAGGCCCGCCCACCAACGTCCTGGTTAAAAACTAGCCAAGGGGAGAGTTTTGCTCCACCCCCCTTAATCGATTCTAAATCAGTCCCTGATCTTCCCTAATAAATTGTATATGGTTATTTTGCTTAACGAAGAGTTCAGGGTATCATTCGAACCATTTGTGTAATAGTTCTATCATTTGGGTTCTCGTTCGGCAATGGTATTTTTTATTAGAGTTTCGCTAAAATTTGAGCTCATTTGGTTGTGATCTCATACTACACTGCCCGGTAGAAGTTTGTATACGAATTGCTATGGGAAAAGTGAATTATTTGTTCACCTCGTCCTAAACTTTCACCGTAATAATTTATAGGTAAATTAAGCTATAACTTCTCAGCTACAGCTTTTTCCCCAAATCGTTTATTTTATAGGCTCAAATGTCGTAAAAAACAACTCAACGGAGCCGAGTAACAATACATAGTTTTAAAAATATTCAACATTACAATAATTACGAGGGGGACGACTCTATCTACGATGCAGGAAATATTGTGTTTTGCTGTGGCTACCTGCGCGTACGCTGAGTAGATAGAAAGAAGATTTATCACGATTTTGAATATTTCCTGCAAAAAGATGATGCGCGATGCAAGTAGATGCGAAAAATGAAAGACGATTTTTCGAAGATTTATTCGCTAGTGTGAGATTTTTTGAGCATCTAAAATTGAGATTTAGATGTGTCGCTCCCCTCGAATAATTACGAGTTTTTGTTCCAGGGCGGTGAATTGATTGCAGCTTTCACCCGTTCTTGCTATTTCTTTTTTTCCTGCATCCTCTGATCCTCCTTCTCCTGGATTGGAACCGGAGTGTTGGCTTCTGGTCATTTTCACTCATCATTCGTTTTCCGTTCCGTTCCGAGGAACATTTATGGTGGTAAACTCCAACCGGTATTATCCTCGGATTAAGTCTCGATCAAGAATGTCCTACTGCTTTGATGTCGACATCAGAGTTAATCAATGCGACTTTAAGCAAATATTTTACAGATCATCCAAACAGGGACGGTATTAAAAGTTAATCCGAGTTAAAGCTTACCGCAATCAGAGAGGTTTCACTCAGTCTATTAGTATATACTCTCCTATAATGAGTAAAAATTTCAATGAGTGACCTAAGTTTTTGCGAATTTTAGTGAACGATACTCAAATATGAGTCAGAATCATTTTCCACAAATTCATTCACGAAGGCGAACACGCTGTCGATGTTAGCTACTGAAGATAATTTTTTCTTATAATTCACAAAATTAAACGGTTTAGTAAAACAATTAGTAATGATAATCGATTAGATAAAATTGATTACTTGTTCCAAAAAACAAGTTGCTCGTGTGGACGAGACGCCACTAGGTAAAATTTTATTTAGTAGTGGTGAAATATTATAATATTTCGTAGTCACACGAACAGCGGAATACAATTAAAGTGTTTATGTTGTTTTTAAAAGACGAGAATACTCATATTTTGAAAATTGCTTTGTTGAATCATACAATAGTTTAATTCGTTTGTCTTTTGTATCTCTTTTTATTAGTTTTTGTTTGTCTTGTCTCCCGTCTCGATGAGTCTCATCGTCGTCCACTGTCCGTCACTCTGATGAGACAATGAAACCCTACCCCAAGCTCCTCCCCTTTTCCTATCCTTCGACAATATAACCCTCTAGCCTCGGGTAAACCGCGAGTATTCGGCCCAACTCCTACTAGACATAGAATTAAGTATATTATCGGCTCCGTAAAGCTAACGCGATTGAGCCTTACAAATAAACGAACTAGATAAAAAAATCATACATTAGCGTATTGTGTAGTAATTTTTCTCAAATAATGTATAATATTGGAGAAAAGGGGGGGTGCTAAAATCACCCCGTATGCTCATTATACCCCTTCCCCCTCTAATACGATAGCAAACGTTTGTGTACCCGAGTTATTTACGAAAGAGAGAGTCGATGAAGAGAATCTATCAATGTAGATTGGAATATTTGTCTATTGGATGCGAGATTTGTGTTTTATTTATGTTACCGTACTTGAATTCAGGTTCAAAATGCGATATTTGTACGACCCCTAAAGTGATACCAAAGAAACATACCACACGGTAACCGATAAATACCCAATAATGACTATCATCTTCCGCGCAAAGGTAAATGCTTCGAACGAATTTGATAGCAAAGATTACAAGCTCAGAAAAAAAAACCATTCGAGTATTTGCTCATTTTTCTATGCAGTACTTCAACCTTCGTCGCTTGGATTCTGGCAGAGTTGCCAGTCTTCTTCATTTGATGTCTTCGATAAAAGTCTCAATATTGACTACAAAGCAAGCATTTTTGAGGGAAACTGGGACTACCCATTGAATACTTACTACTCATTTTTGTAGTTGAGATTACTCATAAATGGGTAAAATGTTTCAGCTGTTTTTGACGTAACACGGATTTTGGTGTAATGTTTATATAGGGGATTTGATTTAAAGAAGTTCTGTGAGCTTCCTTGATGTTGCAAATTTCTCTGATGATCTATCAACATATCTGAAGTCCTGTGAACCTCTTTGAAATTCTTTAAAGTTCGTAGATCATGATCTACTAGCAAAGTTTTTGATGATCTACAAATTTTGCTGAAGTTCTGCAAATTTATCTGAAGATATAAAAACTTTCCTTGAAGTTTTGCAAATTTCTCTGAAGTTATGCGAACTTCCCTGATGTTGGTGGTGTGTAGTAGTAATCGTGATTGCCTCTCACCCCAGCAGGCCAATCACAGTCGCCGGGATGTTCTGAGGCATAACGTCTCTGATCAAGCCTTCTTTCGGAAGGGAAGTAAAGCCGTAGATCCCCGGTTCATGAGTTGATGGGTCTATATGTAGGGTCCAGGTGTGGGAGCTGCCTCCCTGGCATCGGTAGCATTGGTGCTCAGCACGGATAACAAGATCGACAGAAAACAAATTAAGGAAAATGAAAAAGAAAATCCCTGATGTGCTGTCTGTACAATTTCCTGAAGATTTGCAAATTTTTCTGATGATATGCATTCCAGGGGAAGTTAAGTTTTGTAATTTTTTCTATAGATCGACACACTTTCTTTAAAATTTCATGAACTTTCGTGATCACCAGTGTAGAGAAATCTGTAATATCAAATAAAACTGTAAACAAATATCACTAAAATGAAGAAAATTACCAAAATACTTCAACGCATTTTCCTCTGCTTGTAAAGAAATTAGCAAATGCGCCTCTTCTTCATCCGACGACGAATCCATTGCTCACGATCGCTACGATGCTGCGAAAAAACTGCCGCTCCGGCGAATTTCGCTACCGCGGTTAACGCGATTTATTCGCTATCGCTGCCGCGGCGTAAAAAAACGCGCCAGTTTGGGACCTCAAGTCCGGCAACTTTGACCGATGGCGAGTGGTAAACACAACGAAAATGAATTTAATTTATAATAGTTGAAATAAGGCTTGGTATGAATACCATCTCACATTCCACTTCGGAAGATAAGTTGGTAAAATTTAACAGTTTAATAAAATAAATGGATGAATTAAAGCTTACCTTGTACATGACTGACTATCGATGATGATAATATGTGGCAACAGGGATGTTTCTTTCCTTTCCTTTTCATACAATAAGACGGTTCATTCATTTCACTATTGCCGCACGTCGGCCTTTCTGCATGTTAGCCACTTTTATTACCAATAATTTCTTCAATCATTAAAATTAACTACCTGTCACTGAAACTTAAATATTCTTCATTTCTTTGTTACATCTTCTTAGTAACTGAAATATATTACCAATTTAAATACATACAATCTTTTTACGGTAAACTAAAACACTTTACACACAGGATACAACATCAAACCGCGCTTTGTCACTTTGGTTTCCTCCCATTGGCCGGCCGGATAACACCGGCACGACAGCTTCGAAATCTTCAACAGTCACACCATTCACTCCGTCACACGTTATCAATTCGGCCGGGTGGTGGTAGTAGTGACTTTCGGTCAGATGATTGGCTGCCGGATCCCGCTGCAGGGGCCTTTTTCCGGAAGGTAACATAAGCGTAGAGAAGTGAACCGGCCACGCTGATATTGATTCCTATGCTGTTTAGCCAAGAGAAGACGTAGTCACCGCCGATAAACATACCGATGTAGGTGACACTGATGTTCTTCAAGCAACCGACGATGGTCGTCGTAAGTGCTGAGTTGTACTGTGTACATAGAATAGTACTATAGGATAAGATAAATCCCATCACGCAGGACAGTAGGAACTGCACTAGGAATAAAGAATCATTCCAGTCTTTGAACTGCCATGCTTTCTCCAGATCCCCACAGAGCCAGGTTCCAATCAAGGCTGGCAGGAACATGAACAGCGAGTTGTAGTACATCAAACCATATTTTCCCATGTCTGCGGTGTCAAGTTTCTTTTTCATGTAAACTCCATTAGCGGCAGTCAGAGTGTTGGTAATCATCACAAATAGGTAACCGTGCAGATTAAAGCTAAGGTCGTCGCTGGCGGCTAGCAGAGCTCCTCCCACCATAGAGTACACACTGACCTGCACAGTAGTCGTAGGTCGGATTCCGAGAATACGAAGCTCCAGTATCATGGTCATTAGAATGGAAAACCTCCGAAGGGCGGCGAACATAGGCAAACTGAGGGCTTGGGTTCCACCTAAACCGAACATCATGTTCCCCAGGTAGATCAATGGCAAAGGGAATATCCTACGTGGTATGTCCCGTGAGCAATCCGGGAATTTGACTATCCTAAAATGTTTTCCCAGGAACAGTACTATGATGCTGGCAGCCAGCTGTCCCAGACTAAGTACCAGGAACGATGGAAATTGGTATGACGTGAGAACAGTTTTATTGATCACGGTAATGAGGAAGGAAGCACACCCGTAAAACAGGGCGCTGGTCACTTTCATTAGAGGGGTTATTCCATCGTTCCCATTACCGGGGATATCGGTGGCTCCCATTTTGCTCTAATTTTTCTTCCTCCCACGAGTGGGGTAAGTCTTTGATTAGGTACTCTATGCCTGAGTGTATTATAGCTGCTGCTACTGCTTATCTGCAAACTCGATGTAACTTTTGACTTCGCTCTATCCGATTATTGGGCGTGATTATAACTTCCAACAGGGCACTTTGCCCAATCGTTGTGGACTTTTGTCTTCTTGCTATTGATGATTGGAGCTTTACCATTCTTCCACCTCCACTTCCTTCATTCCACGGTGCATGAGAAGTACAACTTCGAAAAATATGAGCAACCTTGTCTTGTGTGGGATTCTTTATGATTCAATCGACGAGTTTACGGATTTTTTAGCACGTTTCGCGTGGAATAAAACTTTGTTTGAAGAGCGTTCCTGCTCACAAAGTCTGATGGTGCACTTGAACAAACACTCCAAATCTCAGCTTCTAACTCTGGTTTCATTTGACGTTTAGTGAAGACCGAGAATCTTACGGGATCGACTGGCAGAAAAGATGATTCCTTCTCTTCCTCCTTTTCCCCGTAGAACACACGCGCACACACATAAACAAACGACCGAGGAGGAGGATCGTTCATTTTCTGAGAATAGCGAAGAATATTATTCGCGACAGCAACTTACTACAATCACTGCTAATTTGCATCGTTATCGTACTAGGTGCGATTGAGTAGTGTAGGTTTTATGCTACGAATCGACACCGGCTACGCTGGCAACTCGCGATTGAATGAATAAGAACACGGGTGGGTGTGTATGATTGACGTTGGGGTGGACGCAATGACGTTTATATAAGGTCTGGGCCAAAGGGTTGGGAGATCGCTAAAGTATGATTGTATGATTTGTTTTCATCGGGAAAATTTTCCGCTATGAATTTTTTTCCCTATGAAAACATTTTGCGTATACGTATACGTGACGTAGTGTGTACGATAAACGTCAGCAATTTTTATTGGGGTTAGTGAAATGTGCAATTAGGTTCTGCAGCGTGACGTCACAAATGAACTCAGTGTTAATAGGCTGAACCTTTTTGACAGTTCAGTGGTACTGTTTACAAGCACTTAGTCGTTTTTTCGAAAAAAAAATTCTAAAATTTCCGAATTTTAACTTGAAAATTGTCGAGGAACAGCGCGGTGAAAGGATGTTGCTCGTGGACAATGCAGAAGTGTGGTTTACATCTCACTGCAGTCTGAAAAATTATCGAGAAAATCCACCCAAGAAAAAATCGGCTAAGTCCACGTAAATAGTACCACTAAACTGTCATCAGATTGAGGTTAACCCCGACGGTGCAAAACCTAATTGACGAGTGCACGGATGGATTTGAGTTCACTCACTCGACAAAAAGTGACACAACAGCGGGGCCCTGTTTACTAAAAATGAACACATGAATAATGCTCACGTAACATTTGAAAAGGGCCTATCAACTTTTGTAAATAATTTGCTAGGTCCTTTTCACGAGAACCGAAGTACGCCCACGCAAACCAAGAGCACTATCGGGAAAGGGAGAATTTCCTCTGCCCGATGGTGTTGTTAGTTTACGTGAGCGTATTCGGTTCGCGCGAAAAAGACTCAACAAGTTTCGTGTACATAAGTTGATAGACCCGTTTCAAATGTTACGTGAGTATTATTCATGTGTTCATTTTTAGTAAACAGGGCCCCGCTGTTCTGTCACTTTTTGTCGAGTGAGTGAACTCAAATCCATCCGTGCACTCGTCAATTAGGTTTTGCACCGTCTGGGTTAACCTCAATCTGATGACAGTTTAGTGGTACTGTTTACGTGGACTTAGTCGATTTTTTCTTGGGTGGATTTTCTCGATAATTTTTCAGACTGCAGTGAGATGTAAACCACATTTCTGCAATGTTCACGAGCAAAATCCTTGCAACGCGCTGTTCCTCGACAATTTTCAAGTTAAAATTCGGAAATTTTAGAATTTTTTTTTTCGAAAAAAAACGACTAAGTGCTTGTAAATTAGGTTTTGCACCGTCGGGGTTAACCTCAATCTGATGACAGTTTAGTGGTACTGTTTACGTGGACTTAGCCGATTTTTTCTTGGGTGGATTTTCTCGATAATTTTTCAGACTGCAGTGAGATGTAAACCACATTTATGCAATGTTCACGAGCAACATCCTTGCAATGCGCTGTTCCTCGACAATTTTCAAGTTAAAATTCGGAAATTTTAGAATTTTTTTTTTTCGAAAAAACGACTAAGTGCTTGTAAACAGTACCACTGAACTGTCAAAAAGGTTCAGCCGATTAACACTGAGTTCATTCGTGACGTCACGCTGCAGTACCTACCTCATAAATGCGTATTTTTTTTAAATTTTTGTACTATCAATTACTCAAAATGTGTAAAATTTTAGTCATTTTATTGGTACTCCCGTTTTCTTTCAAAAATGCGTACTTTATAGTCATAAAAGAGTTTTTTGCGATTACCGTGATGAGAAAATCGAATCTCTCGTTCCGTTTTTGACAACAACAAAAAGTGAGAGTGGGATGCAAAACTCAAAATTACCCAAAATTAAGTTAAAATAAATTAAATTTAGGATAATTTTTTTCACTTCACCGGAGGTGTAAACCGATCGATTTCTGGAAACTGAAAAATATTCCACTTAATTTTTTTCAAAACCTTTTTCACTAGAAATTTTATGATTCTTCGCGAGGAGCTGTCAACTTGAGTATTTTCGATTCATATACCAGACTTGAAAAGATGTATTTTGTATTTTTTTTTTCGTATTTATGTATTTTTATGTTGTGTGTATTTTTGTATTAAAGTGTATTAAATTCATTATGAAATGTATTTTTCGTGTACAAAGTCGAGTACAAAGTATTTTCGATGTATTTTTATTAGGGTATTTTAGTTTTAGCGTGTACACATTTACGTATTTTTAAATGTGTATTTTCCGAAGTGTATTAACAATTTAGCTGATTTATGAAGTTGATCGCCCCTCGATTTTTCGCGTGCTTCAAATTTCGTTTCACTTCGGTCTGTATGCTAGGCTTAAGCACGGAAAACCAATCAAGGAGTAAAAAGCAGTTAACTTGTTATTTCTTGCGCAACACGAGATGTTGATCGATTCTCTTCATCGATTTTCTCTTTTGCGAATAGCCTAACTGCAAATGAATTTCTAATTGAGTGTGTTGTTTCAAGCGCAAGCTAACATCATCTTCTGTCAAACTGTGTTGCGAGCTTAGCGAGAAATTCGTTCGTGTTGCCGTGGTAAACCAATGAGAATGTTGATGAAGAGAATCGATCAACGATAGGCCCTTTTCAAATGTTACGCGAGAATTACTTTACTTTACTCATTAATTACACGGCGAATGAGAACAACCCAAATTTGAATTTAGTTCACTCATAATCGCCAAAAGTGCAGGAACTCAGCGATGATTAAATTTTCCTCATGTTTTTCCAGGGAAAAATTCCCGAATTTGAGAAAAGTAAAGATTGGATTCACTCAGTCTATTGGTATTATTGATACAGTAGAAAACCGGAAAATTCGACACGCGCCAATCGATTTTACTCTCAATCTGTACATAAAACATAACGTCGGACATAGTGCGCTGTATTTGTACAATGATGCGCCATAATGCACACCATGTCCGACGCTTTGTTGTTGTACAGAACGAGAGTAAAATCGAAAGTCGGGTGTGGGGTTTTCCGGTGTCAAACGCGACCGACAATACTACTTCGAGACTGAATAAAATTTTCGTCAGTTTCCTCATTTTCCGGCAGATTTTTAAGGTTTTCCACAGGAAACCATGAGACAAATTTTACTCATCGCTGAGTTCCTGCACTTTTGGCTATTATGAGTGAACTAAACTCAAATTTGGGTCGTTATCAATCACCGTGTAGTAAATCCACTTTTATAGGAATTGAGTAAACTTACTCATAAATAGGTATTTGATTTTTATCGTGCAGTCGTAGGATTTGTTTTCGTTTTATTTATTTTCGAATGACAGTTCAAACAGCTAACAAAAAATATCATCTCACTAACACAAGCAAATCGCACCAATGTATAGTAGTGTTTGTTAGTAGGATGATTTTATAGTATTGAGGATTGATAAATACGCAATGTTTACAATTGTATAATAATAATTTGACAACTGAATTGAATTATATTTTGAAGTAATTTAATGGTTTAACTGATAGTTTTAACATTACACCTGCGGCGTGTAGTGTAGGAAATAAAATTTTGTTTCGCTTACCTTATGTTGCGGAGAACGTAAGTAATTTCTTTTATTTCGATTATATTTCGCACTAAATCTGTATTGGCAAGTTTAACGCTGCTGTCAAGAGGGCTAACTTCGCTGCACAGATTCGCTGTCAAGATAAGATATAATGAGGTGCATTTAGTTCAATGAGTACAGAGAGAGGGAAAGCAGATCGTGAAATATTGTTGGGTTAGTAAACCAAAAAACGTAAACGCAAGTAGTGACGTCACTAATTGCTTGTATCGTACAGGGGTTTTACTCACACAAATTAACCGACTGCTTCACCTCGGTAATCCAGCTCAATGAATTTAGTTCTATAGGCACGTTCAGACCAATGAGCTGGATAACCGAGGCAAAGCAATCGGTTAAGTTGTGTGAGTTAACCCCTTTACGGTACAAGCAATTAGTGACGTCACTACTTGCACGGAGAAAAATACTACCCAAAATTTGAGTTCTTTTTACTTAATATTGACTTTAGCCTCTCACTTGCACTCGTTATTGTTGTCAAAAAAGGAACAAGAGATTCGACCCAACGATATAGTTCAGCCCAATAAGTTACTCTTGAGTAAAATGCATATTCTCAAATTTACGTGAATTTAACTTAATTTTGGGTAGAATATACTTAAGAGTAGGTATTTATTTTTGCTGATGGTAAATGGAAACTACTATATGCGATTTACTCAAATTTGGGTTATTGGGCTGAACCCCGGAATTGAGGGAAAAGTACTTAATTTTGGGTAGTTTTTCATCTCCGTGTGCGTTTACGTTGATTTTTTTGAGGATTTTTTGGTTTACTAATCTACCATATTTCACGGTCTGCTTCCCCTCTCTCTGTACCACATTGCGTTCAGACTAGTAATCCTATACGAAGATGAAATACGACCCAACATTGAGTAGTTTTCCGTGGTTCAGCCCAATAACCCAAATTTAAGTAAATCGCATATAGTAGCACCGACGAAATAGTAGTTTCCATATAACACCCGCAAAAATATTTACTTATAAGTATACTCTTAAGTACATTCTATCCAAAATTAAGTTTAATTCACGTACATTTGAAAATATGCAATTTACTCATAAGTAACTTATTGGGCTGAACTATATCGTTGGGTCGAATCTCTCATTCATTGATTGACAACAATAACGAGTGCAAGTGAGAGGCTGAACTCAATATTAAGTAAAAAGAACTCACATTTTGGGTAGTATTTTTTCTCCGTGTATATATCGAGGATTTCAAGATAATTTAGGTACAAATCCCTGCTGCCGAATTATATTTTGTTTTCTCCGTCCATCGTCCGTCTGAGTATTTCTAGTTCAGACTACAGAGTTAAATGCAAAACATTCGTGATAAAAGTCTAGATAGAGCTGGAATTAGGGCGTAACAGCTTTTGTAAACAATGACTTCTCTCGATGATTTCTCGAAAGCCATGGCTCTCCCTGGCAAATCGACATCACCATCGAGTAGAGGAAGACTTCTCCTAACTGATGGATATGTTAGTTTGTGTAGGTGTGCCTTGAATTCCGAGAAATCAACGAGAGAAGTCGTTGTTTACAAAGACTGTTACGCCCTAATTCCAGCTCTATCTAGAAGTGTTCAAGAGACAAAAAGATATAACCGCGGATATAACACTGTGAATATAATATTATAATATTATTATTGATTATAAAACATCGTCCATAGTGGCGCCGGTGGTGTAGTGGTAAGCTTGATTACCTCTCACCCAAGCAGGCCTGGGTTCAATCCAAGTCGGTGCCGCCGGGATTTTCTGAGGCATAACATCTCTGATCACGCCAAGGGAAGTAAAGCCGTTGGTCCCCGGTTCATGAGTTGATGGGTGGGTCGCTAGGTAGGGTCCAGGTGTAGCGTCGGTAGCATTGGTCCTCAGCACGGAAAATAAGATCGACGGAAAACAAATCAAGGAAAGAAAACATTGTCCATAAAACACTATCGCCATATGTTGACCACACAGTGAAGGGCACTACGCTCAACAGATGGCAGTAGTGTTCAAACGTTCAACTCCCCATTACAGATGACTATGTGCTAGAATGTATTGCTTCATCAGTATAGTGTACCGAAAGCGATTTGAGTAAACGTGCACTTTTATCACAGTTTTTAATAACTTATTAACACTTAAGGGCCACCCACATTAGATCCGTTTGCGTTGCGTTGACGTAAATTTGACACTTAGACAATAGATTTAGCTGTCACTTTGCCGCAACGCGTCCGATCCGGATCTAATGTGCGTGGGCCTTTACACGCTTACACCACCACTTACACTGCAAATAAAATACACGTAATATTACCCAGAAATGGTACGTAGATTTTTTTTTTTCAGTTCGTTTATTTGGCAGGCTCAAATGTTATAAAAATAACTTAGCGGAGCCGAGTAACATAGAATACCAATTTCGGTACTCAAAATACAAAAAAAAAAAAGTATATATATATACAAACATATTTTATCATATGATTTTTCTTGGTGGCGATCGAAGCGGTGACAAAGCGGTCTTCTCCCGTGCACGCAACTGCTTTCTTTCCCGAATTTGTTCCTCATTTTCATTGAACCCGAATCGTGATCGCTGCTGCTGCTTCTGAACATCGTTTCCCGTTGCATGCTCTCCGCTACTCTCGTCGGTCGTCGGGGTCGTCACGTCCATTTCGTTTTCTTCATTCAACATCTCCAACCCCGTGTCCGTTTCCTGATCGCTAATGACAAACGACGCACCTTCCACCACTACACCAGCATACGTACTGCTGCTGTTTTGTTTTCTTTCACTTTGCTTTCCGTTTTCCTTCAGTTGCTTCTCCGGTTCCTTCCGAGCCTTCCGCTTGGGACAGGAAAGCTTCCGGTGTCCGTCCGCTTTGCACAGAAAACATTTATCTTTGTTGCCATCATAAAAAATATTTCCTTTGCGATTGAAGAAATGTAATGACGTGGGGATTTCCTTCTTCACATCCATATATATACCGCGTATCCCTGTATATACCTCAAAACACAGATCAGTTGGAAATTTCTCCCGGATGATGCGTTTAATTTTCCCATATTTCCCCAGCACTTTATCCAGCTCGTTTTCGGGTACCTCTGGTGGCAAGTCATACACACGCACATATTGAATGAATTCACCAGCATGCGACATGCGTACCTTTGCCGTCGTTCCATTCGCATAGTGGAAGATTAAATCCTCCGAATTGAATGTCAGAGCATGGAGCATCGCTTCCTCTGATTTGAACTTCATGAAGACTCCCCTTTCCTCACCAATGCGATAAACAGCTTCCATTTCAGCCGGATCCGCGTCGAGTGCTTTGGCGAAATTTACTATCTCTCCGATGTTTGGTTTAGCATCACAATGGCTGAAGCTAAACTTGATGGTATTTTTTACTTCACACATCTTGCACCGTAGCAATAAAAGGCACCGAATGTTTGTTGCTAAGATGATTTCGGTGGTCCTAAAATGATGAATGGGCTGCACGTAAGGAGACGTAATTGATAATTCTCCCGAATATCCTGGTAAATACACTTTGACTTGACAAATGGTACGTAGATATTTTCCATCCTTCTTTTCAGATGAATATTACCTGTTTTGGGAATGAAATGCTGTTTCAAATGCTTCATATGAAAATCAAGTGATTTTATCGTAAATTTTAACGGACGTTCCAATGATCGTAAAATTTCATTAACTTTAAATTTAAGTGAATTGTTGAGTAATCGTCACTGGCTTTTGTTGTAATGTTTAAGTGAATTTGAATAGGTTTCGTCGGCTTATTTCGACCAGATTTTTTTGGTTATACAATTTAACTTAATTTGTTGAATTTTTACTTTATTAGAATTAGGATAAAACTGTTTTTTAGTAACTATCATGTTTATCAAACCTATTCTTAATTCTAATACCCTATCGCCCTGGTTGTTGTTAATGTTGATCGCTTTTTCTTTGTTGCTGCTCAATGCTTTAAAGATCGATGCTACTGTATAAAGGAATAGTTTGTTTTTAATTTTTAACATTTTCCGAATGCCTAGTGAAATTAAGTGCTTTAATTTTGAAAAAAAATATATATATATCGTTCACTATACATCACCAGAACTTCCCATAATCCCATATGGAAAAAGTAGGCATTCGGAAAATTGCAGTCGAAGTTACAAAGCGCGATTCCTATGTAAATATTTGAAAATCATAGTAAATTAATCATTTTGTTCGACCATTTTCCACAGAGATGGCGCTGTTCCGCTGGTAGGAAGTGATAAAAATCCCCATATAGAAATTGAGAGAAGTGGGAATAATTCGCTTTCGGTGCATATTCAGGTCAAAAAAAGTGAACGACAACCTAAAGAAATTAGTCAGGGGCTTTGTCGTTCAGTTTTTTCCCGGGAATTAATGCTAAACAAGCTACAATTAAATAAAAATGATTTTTCCCCATACAATTTTACCTGCTTTACTACCAGTCCCCAGAGAGCCAAACAATTTCAAATTTGAGAGAGAAATTCTCTCTCACGAGCTCAATCTCTCAACATGCCATGTATTTTGTTGACACTCGATTTGTGATTTCCCTTTCACAGATTACAAAATAGAGTACCTGACGCTACAAAACATGTCTGGTACCTCTATATATGCATTTGCTTTAACATTTGAAGTCCCTCCTTTTTTACATATTCTGCGCAAAAGATACTTTATGCCCCGCCCCATACATAAAATTCGGCGGGAAATTCTGTGAGGGGTGAGCTATTTTGTGTGCAGAGTGTGTAAAAAAGGAGGGACTTCGAATAATAATCTAATGGCGGTAAGCTCCAACTCGGATTAACTTTTAATACCGTCCCTGTTTGTATGATCTGAAAAATGTTTGCTCAGAATTATGTTGATTAACTCTGATGTCGACATCAAACCAGCCGGACATTCTTGATCGGGATTTAATCCGAGGATAATACCGGTTGGAGCTTACCACCATAAATGCTTATATAGAGGTACCAGACATGTTTTGCACTTCAGTGTCCTCTGTGAACAATTATAGGAAAACAGATTGTGTCTAGTTTCCGATAGATGTCACCGCAAACAACAGCAGTGACATCTGATGGAACATGAATGCAGAAGCTTGACAAAATGATTAATTTATTAATATTTTTTTCAAGTTAAAATCAGTTGCATTGGAACTCGCATGTTATGTTATATCAGCAAGTAATATGGCAACTCGAAAGGCAGAACTGTAACCACCGACGAACCAACGTGACAGCTCATAGAAGCCACATTCAAATTCTTGCCCAAGTCGCCATATTTAAAATACGCTAAACACTACCGCCATCTACTCATCCGATCGCGTCATATCGTGAGCAAGGACACGAACAACGTAAAATTTATATTGACTTGGTTTGAGACTCACCTCGTTTGACAGATCTGATCGCCCGTTTGATAGAACGAATCGCTTATTTGACAAATCGAATTGCGGACAAACGAAATGCTTCAGTGGCATGTCGGTTCGTCGGTGCTGTAACGTCACCTCTGGACGATTGAAAGGATGTGACTGATATGCGATTACTTTGCTTGATGGGACAAACTGACTTGATGTTGTTTTCACATTTGACATGATCAAGGTCCGTAGTTTTATCACATAATATGAAAGTAGATGCCAATTAATTATATGATTTGGTAGTAGCTATACTGAAGATCCGAGAGATGTCACCCCTTCAGTGGTAGGAAAATCATTTTTGCAGTATGGAGAATATCAGAAAATCCACGATTTGTGACTAAACATGCTTTCACAGAAGAAAGCAAATAAACGAGTGTTTACCTTATCACCATAGTAATGTACTCGTGCAATTTTTGTGCTTCTAAAACTGCCCATAAAGACGATAATGAATAAAAACTGAAAATTTTCATGCACTTCCAAATGGTTTCCTACCATTCCCATACATTCGAAGTGACTGACCCTCTGGATGTGGATGATGTCAAAAACAACAAAACATGATTAATTGATAGTGGATAGTGTTGTTATCTCAAAATTGACGAAAACCCAAATGGGGGACTGATTTCTAGTGAAAACAAGCTTGCCCAGTTTGGTTTATGCCATACAGTAAAAGGGTGGTAAAAGTATGGACGTCTATCAAAAGTAACAACTGTTGTTCCAATCGAACCGTCAAAATGCACCACTTTGCTCGATTGGTACAGTTTTTTTTTCAGTTTTGTTGTGACAGTCGTCCATACTTTAACTAGAGGGCTTCAAGTTTGGTGGGCATTTCAGTGTTTATAGCACAGAGAATTTATAGTTAGCGTATGTGGATTTTGAAGTGTTATTCTAATTCAATGCATTCTACTTTTTAAATTAGATGATACAATCGATCGACTTGGATAACATACCTTAATTCATAAAGGGGGTGGTACTTATAAAAACGTGGCATAAGTATATTCTAGACTTTCACTTCTATTACCGTATACGGTCGAAACGAAGTTTTCACACAAATCAGGATCTTTCGTAAGCGGGAATAGGGAAAAAAAAGTTAAAGATGATTATCCCTAGAAAAAAAAAAACGGGCTCATGAAATCAACGATTATTCGAAACGACTTTTTTTCATACGAAAAACGCTTCATTTCAACTTTCCCAATGAGGCACCAAACCGTCGCAGGGTATAACCAAGGACGTAGTAGTCCGTGGTATAACCATATTGTCGACTTGCTCTCATGAATTAAATTTTCAAAATAACTATAATATTTTCATTGTGTTGGACACACTTGAATTAAGGATTTTCAATTCCACGTATTTAGTAGCAGTATCATTCGTTTATTATCTCCTCTCAGCTTTCGATGCAGAACCCTTTGCCTGACCACTTCTGCCCGTCCGTGGAGCGTTTTTTGGTGAAGACTTGTTCTGCTCAGCTCCACCGGATGAAAATCGTGCTGTCTGTTGAGCTCCTTTTGCTCCTCCAGCTCCACCTGCCCCCGCTCCCGCCATGACTTGTGGCGGTCCAGCTTCAGTTGTAACCGGCTGTCGTCCACCTTTAGCTCCAGCAGTGTTGGTAGCCGCTACACCATTTCCATGAATCGGAGCATTGCCCACCGCCAGAGTTGGATTCGGTTCGCTCATATTAATCATTTCATTGAAGGTGAAACAGAAATCTCCCAACCGATGTATTTCGCCATTTTTTCCGGAGTATAGAGTTAAGCATTGGCGCCAAACGGCTGCGTATCCTTTCGTTAACCGCACGATATCTCCCGGCATCAGTAGTTTACCAGGTTCGTCCCAAACGGACACGTTTATTGCGGCACTCTGGTCTGCGACCTTGAAAGTACGTACTTCTCGGTTCTCCTTCGTCAATGTAACGGGTCCTACATCAAGGACAATAAAAATCACATTTACATTCTTGAGGCCCGGGTAGATGTCCTTAATGGCAATTATTTCAATTGTGCTGAAAAAAATTGCTTGGAATAGTGAACGCTTAACAACAAAAGGTAAGTAGTTTTACTTACCTGTGTGGTGGCAAAGCCATAATTCAACAGTCAAAGTTTAATGTAATGTATGAAAGATAACTGCGAGTGGTGCTGGGCTTGAGATTGTTTTGTTTAAGAGCCTGAATTCGAATCGAGCAGAAGACCTGTCAAATGGATAAGATGTCGCCTCAGCCAAATTCAGGCTCTTTATGTTTTGTATATGGACTTTTTTGAGTATCGGGAGTATATCGAATTTTCAAAACATCATCACGCTATTTTAAAACTACCCAAATTGGAGTAGGATCAACTCAAATCGATTAAAAGTTAAGCTTCAAAAATGAGTGGATTAAGTTGGAAGTGACAAATCAACAACATCGACCTGAATCAGGTCGATGTTGTTAGTATGTCAACTTGCCAATACCAACTTAATTTTCTCATTTTTGAGAAGCTTCACTTTTGACCGATATGTGTCGATCCTACAGAAATGTGGGTGAGTTTTGAAATAGCGTGAAACTGGCCATAATGAAAGCGAAGTTAGCCTCCAGACGGTAAGCTCCAACTCCAACTCAGTTTAACTATTAATATCGACCCTGTTTGAATGATCTACAAGTGTTTATGTTGAGTCGTGTTGATTGAATCTGATATCGACACCAAAGTTGCCGAACATTCTGGATCATAATTTAATCCGAGGATAATACCGGTTGGAGCTTAGTATCAGTGATTTATACACTGAAACATATTTGAAAATGACATAAAAAAAAAAATAATAAAGGTCTTCACGCTGGTGTAATTTTACTCAAAAGTGTGTAACATTCGATTAATTTTCGTTAGAAGTGGAAAGAGCTTGTGATAAGTATTTTTGTACCTTACGCAAATAATACAACACATGTAAATAATCGATATAAGATCTTACTAAGGCGGAGCTGGGATAGAAAAGTAAAAAAAACTTCGTGCGTAATTATTGCATGATACATTGGGAAAATTAGTAAACTTGGGATTACTTACTTATACACGCTATTTAAAAACTATCCAAGTTTGGGTATAATCCACTCACATCAGTCGAAACTGTAAATGGGTAAACTGTGTGGCAGTGGTGGCAAATAACCTTTTTTTTTCAAAACCATCGTCCAGAGCAAAACAAAACAGCCAACACATGGGTGTATATGTACATTCCAAGCGAACCAAAATTTGGGAAAATGTTATTTAAAATATTTTCAATAAAATGCTGAAACCCGCTTTCTTTTAAAGTGTTCGCCAGGCTTTTTGTGCATGAAGATTTTTTGCTTTTTTTTCTACACCGTGTTATTCAAATGGGAGCTGGGTACCCGGGTACTCCATCAAGCACATAACAGTTAAACCACCGGCAAATCGACATGACACTTAATATTGACTGATGCACGAAAATCGTAAACGGCCGATTTAAATGTTCAGTGATCCGAACTGTCAACACCTGAGGGATAGTCGCGAAGAGAGAAAAATGGAACGTCAACTGCAGCCAGACGGCTGCTGCCACGAACTGTCATTGGAAGCCAAGTAATTTTATGATGCTTTTCTTACAGTTGAACAGGAATACACAAGGCGGTATTGAATTCTTGCGCAAATTGTCGACAAACTGTCGTTTCCAAATATTTTATTCAATGGAACACCGTCTATTTTTAATTCATTCGAAGTACACACAAATCAAAATTTAAAGATATTAATAATCAAGGTCAAAACATTTGTTTTGTCAAAAAATCTAGTGGCATAGTAAAATACCAAACAGAAAAGTACAGTTTTTCACTGCACACTGAACAATCTCAAATAATCACTACACGCTCAAAACAAAACACGCTATTTTAATGCGCCTGTTTTGATTTGATTTCAATGGCACAAATTTTCATGACAAGAAGCACAAGTATACAATGGATTCCGTGTATGCTATCTGCTTCTCCCTCCCAGGATTGTTTTATCTAGATATAAATAATTTGTCCATAATAGATCAGACACGAACCAATTCATAGCGTGTTATAGATTTCGAACTGAAACACAGAAGAACGGTGAAAAACAGAAGAAAAAAATCGACGAAGCGCATCACGGGAGGTTGGTTGGTTGTCTTTATTAAGGCTGTGAACCATTTGCCGAGTTAAATTTAACTCGTGGTTAAAAGTGACATTTCGAAAGTTATTTCTTATGTTCGAAAATCCCCGTGCTGTCGATCGACCGGTTTTCGAGCCACGGTTGTCAAAATTTAACTTCTTGTCTGTCAGAAATAACCATGCTCGGATAGCAGGGTTAACCGATAACTTTCCATCTGTCAAATTTTAACCAAAAGTTAAAAAAATTCGCCAAATGGTTCAGAGCCTAAGGCTGTGAACCATTTGCCGAGTTAAATTTAACTCGTAGTTAAAAGTGACATTTCTAAAGTTATTTCTTATGTTCGAAAATCCCCGTGCTGTCGATCGACCGGTTTTCGAGCCACGGTCGTCAAAATTTAACTTCTTGTCTGTCAGAAATAACCACGCTCGGATAGCAGGGTTAATCGATAACTTTCCATCTGTCAAATTTTAACCAAAAGTTAAAATAATCCACCAAATGGTTCAGAGCCTAAGAAGATTTTCAGCCAGGCGCTGGTTCATCTCCGGCTCCATCACGGGAGAGATGAAAGTCGAAAACAGATGCAACTCTGTTGAATGTTCTCTGCAGTCCGCAAATCGCACCGTATGCTCCATAATTTGTGCAACGTAGAGGCAGTCTTAGCATAAGGTTATTACGAAGCGGTCGGGGTTGAACATTCAGGTCAATTTGCCTCAGGATAGCCTCGCAATCTGTCCTTCCTTGCAGGATATCGGCCACGGTTAGGGCTCTGCTTGTGTCTCTTCTAGTCCGGATAAGTTGACAATGGCCTTCGTATCTGCTGGTAATTGAAACGGATCATTCCAAGGCAATCTACGCAACGCAAAACGAAGAAAGCGACGTTTTTTTGATCTAGTTCGTTTATTTGTAAGGCTCAATCGCGTTAGCTTTACGGAGCCGATAATTCATTGTTCTTTGTTTGTAACAAAATTCACTTAATTCTATGTCTGGTAGGAGTTGGGCCGAATACTCGCGGCTTAGGTTAGAGGGGTACATTGTCCAAGGATAGGAAAAGGGGAAGAGCTTGGGGTAGGGTTTCGTTGTCTCATCAGAGCGATGTCGCCAGTATGAACGGTAGTGTGGTTCTGGATTTGTCTGGAGTTCGACCGGCTATGGTGACCAGTGGGCGACGTTGAGACTCATCGAGACGGGGGACAAGACAAACAAAAACTAATAAAGAGATACAAAAGACAAACGAATTAAATTCTTATACTAGACATTTGCAGAAACACATAAATCGACTGCATATAGCAGAGATCGCGGGTACCCAACACGTCTCTGATAGGAATATAGGGTTGTCTTCCTTGGGCCTCGAGGGTATTCAAAAGTCGCTCTCTGGCGGCGTCATTATCCGTACATTGCCAAACTGCGTGATCGATGTCGTCGTAACCGTTTCCACACCGACATATGTTGCTGTCCACGAGGTTTATTCTATTGAGATGCGCATCTAGCGAGTAGTGGTTGGACATGAGTCTACTCATCACGCGAATGAAGTTACGACTTAAGTCCAAGCCTTTTAACCACGCTCTCGAAGAAACATTAGGAATAATTGAATGTAACCAACGTCTAAGATTTCCATTGTCCCAATCGGTTTGCGAACTCGAAAGGGTACTCTGACGCACTAAATGGTAAAATTCATCGTGTGAAATTTGCCTGTCATAAAATGCGCCTTCCTGCGCGCCCACCTTTGCGAGAGAGTCCGTTTTCTCATAGCCTGGGATTGAGCAATGTGAAGGGACCCATACAAAGGTAATCATATATGATCTTTCGACCAGCACACTCATCTGCTCCCTTATCTTTGAAAGGAAATAAGATGAGTGCCTACTTGGTTTCATTGATCGAATAGCCTCAATCGAACAATCTTCTCGGATAGTGAAGATGAAGTAATGGTCTGAGGGCATGTTGGAAATCATCCCCAATGCGAAGTTGATTGCTGCCAGCTCAGCAACATAAACGGAACAAGGTTCCTGAAGTTTGCGGAAGGCGCTAGAGTTTTCATTGAAGACACCGAAGCCAGTGGATCCACTGAGACGAGACCCGTCTGTAAAATATCTGTTCACGCAATTGACGTGTTGGTACTTTTCAAGAAAGCGACGTTGAACAGATTCAATACTCTCGGCACCGTTGTTGTACACGCAAAAAAAATATTTTAAACGTAATAATATTTGACGTAAAATCAATAAGAATTTCATTTTGTTTTGACTGCAAAAAGAAATCATTATTGTTTCAACAATCCAGTATTTTTGTTCCTCAAAACCCATGGATTGTTAAATCAAAAAGAAAATCTTTTCGAATTTACAAGAGCTTTCATGGTTTTGACGTAAGCTGTCAAATTTGGCAGCTGGGTCAACAACAAAAATATGTTTGTTTTTAAAAGAGATTTCTTGTTGATTCAATCATATTTATTTTATGAAGTCTGACAATTCACGCAGCAGAATTAAAAATATGTTTATTGATTCAAATAATTATTCAATAATATGGCCATTTTTTATGTTTTGTTTTATTTTTCACTGATCATCCTTCGGAAGGGAAGTAAAGCCATTGGTTCCCGGTTAATTAGTTGATGGGTCGATATGTAGGGTCCAGGTGTGGGAGCTGCCTTCCTGGCGTCGGCAGCATTGGTACTCAGTACGGAAAACCAGATCGACGGAAAAAAATCAAGGAAAAAAACAGAAAATTGATTATATGTAGCAACTGCAGCTCGAACTGCAGCATACTTACTTGCCTCAAGTCTCACGATTTTCGGAAATTTTGCACTTATTTCCCGAAATTCACAAGTTTTGTTATTGTTTACATTTTTGTCCGGTTGAAAACGAGGGAATGGTTGGTAGTAATTTTTGCATTCATGGCCCGGGCAATGGACACAGCAAATAAATGCTAAATTAATATGAACTATTGTTGGTTTAATAATACATTATTGTTATTTTTACAATAGTTGCAGTTGAAAAGTGGCTTATTAAAACAAAAAGAATCCTATTTTGAACTTCTATGACTAAGTTTTATTGAAACAACAAAATGCAATATAATTTCAACCGGAATTGTTTGTTTAAATAGAACTAAAGTTTTTTTTGGTTCAATGCAAACAATTTTCTGTCCGTGTAGTTTGGGTTCCAAACCGCTGAACAATACTCAAGCGAACAATAGAGAGATTTTAGACAGTAGATATCAGTGAAGTTTTTAGCTATCCTAAAAATGAACCCTAAAGTTCTTGACGGCTTATCAACAACATATGTAATGTGTTGCTTGAATGAAAGCTGCGAATCCAAGATCACACCCAAGTCTTTCACCTGATTCACGCGTTCGATTGTCGAGCCAGGCAGGTCATAGCTAAATATTATCGGTTGTTGTTTTCGTGAGAATAATGATGCCGATATTGATGATGATAATGGTGATGATGTCCTTTCACTGGGGTAAAGATGGACACTCGAAATAAACGGGCTGGCCGAATGAAGGTGCAACCAAAAGACGTACGTTAGTCACATGGACACTGTGCAATGTGATGCGGAAAAAAACATGTGGGTGGAAAAAATCACAAGATAAAACGAATGTCGTTTGACGAGACCGGGACCGTGTTAACCGGCCCAGCCATCGATACGGAATTGATATTCACTTTTCTCGTTGATGAAAACATAAAACTTTATTCGATCGGAATCACAGTTGTTTACAAGTAAAAATTTGACACGAATGCAAAGCATTCTTTTACATTATACATACATATTTGAGCTCGTATTTTCATATTCGACATAAATCACAACTCCGAAGCTCGGAAGCTAGAGTGTTTTGATTATTTGGTAATAGATCATTCCTGCCAATGATTGGGCCCTAGTTCACTGGCCCAGTGTGGCCATTTTTGTATTATTTTGTACAACATCCGACCAGGGCTTTCGAAGGGGGCTAACTGCCTGTGACCGTAAAGACGGTAATGTTTGGATAGCTTGTTATCCTTCAAACCCATCGCTATGAGTTGTTCGGCTGCACTCAACTGTACAACGGATGGTTGTATGTCAGTGAACGTTCCAATAAACGCTATGCAGATACTATCCACGTTGAATCCTGTTACGATAAAAACAGTTTAGTTTTTGTAAACTCTTCGATATTACATTATTCGAAATATGTATATACCTTTAGTGTGAGCTCCTTGTTTATCCCAATCACGTCCTACGTACGCATTACCGTCTCCTCCTACCAAGAAGTTGTACGCAATGTCGGAGTAGTTTTTCGAATCTTCAGCCATGTGGAATTCCTGAATTCGCTGCGTCATGAAGCTACATTGTGCCTGAAATAGTAAGTAATTGTTATGATGGCAATCGTTAGTGGATTTTTTTAAATATTAAAAAATGGATCATCTGAAGATCGTGGATTTTCTTTCTCAATTAAAAAAGAAACAAACTCGATTCGAACTAACAATATTTTCTCATTTTTGTATTCGTGCCATTTTTGTCAGTCTTTTGTTTTGATTTATTAAGAACATTTAATCAGAATAATCATCGCTCCAATGCTTATGTTTCTGTAAACGTTCGTAGAGCTTATGTCCAGGACTATCTGTGGCTTGCCATTGTCGGGCACCGTAAAGTTTGAAATCAGATGTAATGTAACCGCTATTGACACCCTTCTCCAATAAAGCATCCAGTGCTTCGATTTGTTCATTCGTAGGCGCCATGTTGTTGTAGTTACCGATGAAGGCAATACCTTCGCTCTTAGAATTTTGACCTAATGAATAAATGTAAAATATTTGCAATAGGTTTGTTTAAATTATCATGCAACGGTTGAATGGTGTACCTCTTAGGAAGGCTCCTACTGAGAGCCAACCACGTCCTTCATACACATTGCCATTGCCATCGCCACCGATTAGAAAGTTGTAGCCAATGTCACCGAAGTTCTGGAAGCCAATGTGTTGCTCTTGAATAAACCGAACGCGAAACACACAGGCCGTCTGGAAGGATACATTGGATACATTGTGGGCGAATAATAACGATTGATACCAGTTGAAATGGACTTACAAAGCATATTGCACATTTGGCACCAAAGTAGACTCATGCGCTGAAAATAATCCCTCAGAAGTATTTTCGCTTAGGCAAGCAAAAGTAGAATTTCGAAATTTTAAATGCCAAAAAGTACTACATTTTACAATACAATATCATATCGACATACTAGCGGTAATAGAACATTAAAAATTAGGATTTTTTTTGTCTGATCGAACAAAAATACGCAGGGATTAATTTCAGCGCAGGAGTCTACTTTGGTGCAAAATGTGCGATATATATATAAAATAATTTAACAGCTAAACAAAGTAAAATATAAGTACAAGTACGTATACCTGATTATAATAAAGCACGGGATGCTCGATGTATGTTTCAAAAACAACTTGCATTTTATGTATGCTTAATGTTTGGTTCACCATATCTTTGATCGAATAACACAGTGAGAAGAGGCATTTCAAATGTTGAGACTTCAGAAAAAAAGTCCAATAAAATAATTAATAAATTTAGTTTTAAGATGACAACCGTTTTACTGACACGCTGGTATGGAAAACCAGTTTAAAATACCGAACTGCTTAGGCATCAACAATGTAAACACACTTAGGTATATACCATAACAAATAAGGTTGGTAAGATACTGTAGTAGCTTGAGCACCTAGGTTAAAACTAGAGAGGGCCCAGAATAAGATAGGAGCGGATTCAAAATAAATTGCGTTGGCAACCTATGCCTAGGTGATTTCTAGAAACACTGCCAATGCAATCAAAATAGGTACTGCTTGGTTAGCTCTGACTTTGACAGTTCGTTTGGCGCAAAACTAGCCAGTCCGCTTCTCTCTTAAACTAGACCCTCTCTTGTTAAAGCATGATTTTAAATTTATTTGAATTTGGAACAATTGAGGCGTAAAAAAACCTAAATTTATCAACCTTCTTTCTTAGTTGGTTCTACTGTTTTTCTTAGTTGGTAGTACTGCTAACTATACCGTCCATAGTCAATTTCCTTACGGCTGACACTACCGCTATCTGTTGATCGTACTGCCCGACACAGTGTACTCAACAGATGGCGGTAGTGTATTCAATATTCAATATTCAATATTCAATATGTTAAGCCTGTTTGTCTGTAGAAATAGAAAAAAAAAATTTGCATGAGAAAAGTTTTGGCAAATAGCAAATTTTGGACAGAGAGCTCTCGGAACATATACCGGGACAAGATGTAAACTATTTTTCTCTACAGAAACTCTGATAGAAGAGAAAAGTAACCGTCTAATGTTTTATTTAGTAGATTTGTTATTGTATTATCATTAAAACATATAAGATTAAAAAAAAATCATAAACAATATTTCAAAATTTGCGTTGAAAAATGTTGTGACGGTGAACACAATTCTGCTCACTGTTTTGGGCGATTTTTCTAATTCCGCTCATTAATGCATCTAATTCCGCGCGGATTTATTCATCTGGAAATTACTATTTTTCATTTTAAGGTGGAAACTATTTTTCATTTTAAGGATCTGAAAATTACCGATTCTGTAGTGTAAAACGCCAATTATTACACCATTGTATTCATTTGCGTAGCTAATGGGGGTGCCAGGTGCCGCCTTCAGAATTATCTAGGCACCCTCCAGATAAATTGTATTGAACCAGTCGAACGTAGAATTTAAACATGCAGCAGATCGATTCTCTGAAATTATTTCAGTTTAGAATCTGACTTCCATTGACCGGCAGTGTTGGCAGAAAAGTGATTTTTGGCATTAAATTCAAACCATACATATTTGAACAGTTATAACTTTTTTAGAGACATTCTTGCACCGTCATTCCTTCGACAAAGTTGTTATACACTTCTTGGACTATATTTGTATATGGTTAGTCACATGGTTTAAGCAAAATTGTGGTCTCTACGGGTGAAAATGCAAAAAGTAGGTTTTCCAATACTAATTTCCATACAAATTTCAAACGCAACAGGGGTTCCTTTCATCCATAAATGTTTATATACACACTCGCATTCGTACATCCGTCACATACATCACACATATATTTTCATCCAACATAAAACTCTAATATACAATTTATTCACATATTTACAAAGTCATTACAACACATTTAACACTTTAAAAAACCCTTGGCTCCACTCCTACCAGCCTCCTAAAGAGTCAAAGTCGACTGTCTATTCCTAAATATAAATGATTATCGATCTCTTACTGATAGCTAGACGATCATTGCAGTGACGTCATTAATCCCGATCAATATCGCTACAGTATTCTCCTATCTGTTATCGGTTCCGTGGTAGTGTCCGTACGAGCGGAGAGATGGTCCGATTCTACGTGGTAAGATTTGGGAAGAGTTTCTGTACAAACGACAGCTGCGTAGCTTGGTAGGGTGTGGTAACTCCCGAACAGTGGTTCTGGCACTTAATATAGCTACCATTGGTTTTGAATTAACATGTGATTTAAAGTGTTGCATAATGAATATTTGTCTAAGGCAGAAACTGGTTACTTCTCCGCAAATACCTGGAAAATGTCTGGATTTGGCCAATGTGGCAACTCGATATGACTAACTTGGTTTTGAGATGTCACATGACGGTTTTTGGTCCCAGTCAGAAACTGACCACTTTCCTGGAAGTGCCCGGAACATATCCGGATGAGACCACAATGGTCCTTGACACTTGATATGACCAAACATTGAACTTGGATATGAGTTCTTATGTTGTTTAATGATAGGTTTTAATCAAAGCCAGAAACTGGCCACTTCCATGGGATACCCAAAACACTTCCAGATGAGGCTAATGTGGTCCTGGGGACTTACAATCACAAACGAAGTGACAGACGGAGCGGCTCGAAAACATTGGTGACTAACCTGCTATTGCAATTTTTCAGTGTACCACATGGCAACACCACTACTACTGGATTGTACCACATGGCAACAGTACTACTGGATTGAACTAGCATTTTCTCCAAATCTACTAGAATGTTTTGGTTCTATCTCTTTCACTCTACTCAAAACTGAAATGCATAAAAAAATGACAAAATGATACACTTTTTGCACACTGTCAAAGAAACATTGTACACAAAATCAGCTTTGTGCAAAACTAAAACCAAAATACTAGCCCATATCGTGGATGATGGCACAAGCTTCTAAGAAAATTCTATTACAGCGAACCACATTATTTTAATTGATTTCTTCGCCAGTTAGTCGTCTGTCACTTCGTTTGTGCTTACAATACTGCCGCTCATAGCACGTCGGTCCCATTCGCGTTTTTGTCAAAACCGAGTTTTTCAATGGAAGTGGGAGCTAATCATCATAATACTGGATAAACTCAACAACTTTTTCTGAAAAGATTGGAATAACAGCCAAATGGGTAGACCCATTGCAGTAAACATCAGAAATTAGTAGCGTTTTCCTGTTAATTTTCATTAAAAGAATTACTGCAAAAATTGATTTTGTCATCAACTGAGTAAGACTGGAAACTTTAATTAATAGTATTATCTACTAATGGACCATCCAATTGCAACACACAACTATGACGATGGCGTTATCTCCTGGAAGATGATACTATTCCTACACAGAAACAAAATCCATTGGCAAAAATACTATATTGATGGTTTAAATTAAATACTCCCACCAATAGATTTGTGCAGAAACGAAATTCATTTAACTTTACTATTTTTTCTATCAAAACTACTATGCCTTTTGAGTAATCATAGTAGTTTTGACAGAATGGTAGTAAATTTGATTATATTTTTAGTCAACTATACTGAAATCATGGTAGATTTAACGGCATTAAGCATAGTTATACCGAAAATAGGTGTTTTTTGCAAAATAGTATTCCTAACTATGGTCTTTGCTTCAGTGTAAGGCTCCATTTGGAATGCTTCCAAATGCTGTTTAAATTCGTTCTGTGCTTGATTCTGATTTTCCCCATACTTTGTTTTTAAAAGCGAGTTCCCATGAGAGTGGGAGGCATTACATGATGGTATTTGTTTTTCTGATAATTAAAAATAAGAGATCGTTCTTCTATAGACCAATAATCATGAAAAGGTCTCTTTATAACCTCTGCAGTTCATTATTATTGAATTGAAATATTTGTTTTTTCAACTATAGAAAAACAGCGGCGATGGTGGTGCAGTAGTAAGCGTGATTACCTCTCACCCCAGCAGGCCTGGGTTCAATCCCAGTCGGCGCCGCCGGGATGTTCTGAGGCATAACATCTCTGATCACGCCTTTCTTTGGAAGGGAAGTAAAGCCGTTGGTCCCCGGTTCATGAGTTGATGGATCGATAGGTACGGACACCTGGAAGGAGCTGCCT